TTATGACATGTAGACAGCGAGAAATATGTAGGCACTTTGACATGTATGCAGTCAGACATATGTAGGCAGTGAGAGATATAAAGGCACTTTGACATGTAGGAAGTGAGACATGTGTAGGCACTATGGCGTAGGCAGTAGGTCATATGTAGGCAATATGACATATAGGAAGTGAAACAGGTGTAGGCAGTGAGACATCTGTAGGCAGGGAGACATATGTAGGCACAATGACATGTAGGTACTATGACATGCAGGTCGTGATAAATCTGTAGGCAGTGAGACATATATAGGCACTATGACGTAGGCAGACAGACATCCGTATGTACTATGACATGTGGGAAGGGAGACATATGTAGGCACTATGACATGTAGGCATTATGACATGTAGGCAGCGAGACATCTGTAGGCAGTTAGAGATATAAAGGCACTTTGACATGTAGGAAGTGAGACATGTGTAGGCACTATGACATGTAGGAAGTCTTGCTGTTGAGTACATAGAGCCCCGATACCAGGGCATGGCGGTCTATAATGATTCATATGTATACAACTCTTCACTCCAATTGAAACCCCTCAGAAATGTATTGCTAATGAAAATGTTTATTCGGAATTCAGTGCAGGTACTTGAATCAAAGGTATAATTCTTCTCTATTCAGTGAACTGAGACTGTTTACAGAGTAGGAATTTCCTGCAGAAGTTAATGAGTATGAACCCCATGTTGAACTCCGCCGTGCATCCCTCCCCAGTGTTATATAGTAAATAGGATTCTCTCCCCATCTGAAGGTAATCTCATTACCAGCTCGCCTCGCGCTCAACCTTCTCCAATGGGTCAATGTAAAGCTAAATTTTGTTTGGTTCATTGAATATATCCACTGTCGATTTCGTCCAATGTTTTAACTAGCAGTTATTGCCTTGGTGATTTGCTTGATCTCCGAGTTGGGGAGCAATTACTGGTGTTTTAGAGCGGCCTGGATACGTAATTCCCCCTCGCAGTACAGATAATCGCCACCATATTTAATTATTACTGAGTATTAGGAACGTTTTCGGGATTCCATAAATATAATTCGATATTGCTTTTCGCTCCGAAAATGAACTGTTTTCGAGAAGCCGCCACCTGCGCAACTTCATCGTCTCAAGCAACGTAGACATCCACGGTCACGTTAACAAGACCTAGAAAACTGAATTCAATCTGGCCCTCTTCACAAACAGGGGGCCACTTGGGACCAAGCCCCGAGGATAGCAGGTGGTGGGGTGGAGACTGCGGTAGAAGAACACACTTAGTCTTGTACGTGGGCAGGTGAGGACTGGTAATTGGTACATAGGCAATGATAACCAGGCAGGCAGGAGCAGGGGAATTACCAATGTGGTGTTGGTGACAAGTGCCACGACATTTCACCATTTTACCAACATGGCAGCCGTTTAGTTGAACAGAAAAATCGAAAGGAGAAAATCATGCCAGATGCAATTAAAAGGGTCTATGAAGGTTGACTTCAAATAAGAACGTAACTTAGAGTAATGAATATTCATGCATCACTGACTTTGTAGACTTAAACAGGTCGATTGATGATTTAAGTAAGTAACTGGAGATGTGTGTGAGTGTAGTTAACGCTGCCTATAAGTAGCACAGTGTCTGACTGGGCCGGATGTGCGGAAACAAATTGACTTATATGGTTGAGCACCCTCCCAGTACTGCCGCAGAGCGGGCTACCAGACCGCTAATTTCGTTACGGGCAGACCCAATATTTTGACGAAATCCTTGAGACGTGTGTATAATACCTATCGTTAAAGCCGGCCCAACCACACCACAAAAGATGGCTCTCTGTCAATAATGCCCGTTACCATCTGAAATTGACCAATCGAGTAAACATTTATTCACATTAACTTTGATTAATCTTAGAGGTGAACGGGCTAAAAGGGGCATAATTCATCGTTATCAGCAGTCGGCACGTTTCCTATGAACCACTTGTGCGCTCTTGCCTTCTGCACATTGTGTTAGAGCTGTGATAGACAAACATGGTTGTCTGTCAAAAACTAATTTGTATATGGAACTGTGACAGTTAAATATAGAAATTATCACCCATCAACACACAGAGAATTAAATAAGTACCTGGAGTGCCTCGTTCTATCAAACCCCTGAACACATGATACATACTCCTGTACACACCGCCCGCCCCTTCTGTACACGTGATGCATACTCCTGTACATACCACCCGCCCCTTCTGTACACGTGATACATACTCCTGTACATACCACCCGCCCCTTCTGTACACGTGATGCATACTCCTGTACATACCACCCGCCCCTTCTGTACACGTGATACATACTCCTGTACATACCACCCGCCCCTTCTGTACACGTGATACATACTCCTGTACACACCGCCCGCCCCTTCTGTACACGTGATACATACTCCTGTACATACCGCCCGCCCCTTCTGTACACGTGATACATACTCCTGTACATACCACCCGCCCCTTCTGTACACGTGATACATACTCCTGTACATACCGCCCGCCCCTTCTGTACACGTGATACATACTCCTGTACATACCACCCGCCCCTTCTGTACACGTGATGCATACTC